TTTTTTGTTTGTTTGATTTTTTGAGATGAGACAGGGTTTCTCTGTGTACCTTTGGATTCTATCCTGGCTCTTACTCTGGAGACCAGGCTGGCTTCGAACTCCCGGAGATCCGCCTGCCTGTGCCTCCCAAGTGCTGGGATTAAAGGCGTGCACCACCAATGCCAGGCTTTAAACATACTTTTTCAGGTTGCAACATTTTATTTTAGTTTTTTGTTTCAACGGCACCATTATCTATATATAGATGTTTTTGTACATAAATACATACTCCCATGATCATATTCATACTCCCATTTAAAACACAGGTTTTATACTCAGAAAAAGAAAAGAGATATGTCTGTATTACCCCTGCTACTCCCTTTTTGAGCCAGAGTCTATGTCCCATTGGGTGCCTAGAATTTGCTGTGCAGATCAGGCTGGACTTAGACCTCTGTCTCTGCCTTGTGAGTGACAAAAATACAGGTGTGTTCTACCACACTTGACTCAACTTGATTTTGTCTTTATTTTGAAATTTATCTATTAGTCATCTAATCATTCTAAAATGTGTAGTAGCATTTCTTTCTAATAAACCTAATTCTTCCCTTGACTACAGGATAGTTAAATAATTTCCTGTTTTATTTAAGGGACACCTTTCTGAGTATATTTTGGGCTTCTTTGGGACAGCATCTGAGTATGTAATTGCTGGGCACTAGATTGGTAAAATTCACGTCTCTGAGATTTTGTTTGTTTGTTTTGTTTTTTGAAACAGGGTTTCTCTATGTAGCCCTGGCTGTCCCAGAACTCACACTGTAGACCAGACTGGCCTGGAACTCAGAGAATCCCCTGCCTCTGCCTTCTGAGTGCTGGGATTAAAGGTGTGTGCCACCAACGCTGACCTCACTTTTCTGAGATTAGCCAAGTTGTTTTCCAAAATGGTTGCCCCAGCTTTATACTTCTCCCATCTATGGAATTCACATATTCTATACTTTATGCAAAAACTTGATGGCTTTGGACTTTGGCACATTTCCTAGTTCGGTGAGAATACAATGGTAGTTTGGTCATTAATACTACTGCTTTTAACTCATTCACTTGATATAGCAATTCCTTATCCGCAACTTTCTGCTATAGTCATTCAGAGGGACCACTTGAAAGGATGGGAATGGTAACTGTCTGGCTATTGAGGCTTTTTAGAAATGATAAAATGGTATTTTTAGATTCTGAGGTTTTCCACAATTGGCTTTTCTCTCCTTCAACTTTGTGTCATTATGCATGCTGATGGAGCACAGGGTCATGTTTCTGCAATTGTTTCAGAAAATTGGAAGACCTTTCCATTGTCTGCTCTGAACGAGAGGTTGGGAATGCTGCTTTCAGCATTAAATGATGAGTAAAATATACTTAAAAGTTCTACAAACAGTATTTCCAACTGTGTGTTGCAATGAATTTCTGTGGGGAAATCCAGAGTGCTCTTTAACAAGCTGGAAACTCAAACTCCTGCTTATTTTCATTTATGTGCCAAGGGCATGAGAAAGAAAGCAACAGCTCTAGCCATGTTGACACTTGGAAGTAGGTCCAATGCTTTTAGGAATGGATCTGACACTCAAAGTCGGGTCATGTTGCTGTTATCATGCGGACAACACCTTTCGGAACACTAGTGACAGACAAAGGGCACTCGGTGACCATGATGAAATGAGGCAAACAAAATTACTTAGTTTGTCTGAGCACACTTAAGATAAAGGATAGCGTGTAACATCAAAATGCCCACATTCAATAAATTCATGGGGAGCCACTATGGACTAAACTTCATTTTAGGCTCAGCTCAGAAAGCAGGCTCCATGACACTATCACAAACCACAGTGGAGTCAACCATTCTTATTACTGCATGTTCAGACTAACCGCTGAAGTGGGGTAGTTTCCTTTACAGTAGTTCATTTTCTTGTTGCAATGAAATGTGAGAAAATCAACTGGGAGACGGAAGGGTTTATTTTGAAGCAGAGCTGGAGTCCAGGGACTGCTGCAGGAACATGGGGCAGCTGCTGACAGGACACAGGCAGTGAGGAAGCACAGAGGGATAAACAATGGTGCTCAATTTGCTTCCTTCTTTTTACTCAGTCCAGCATCCAGGTCCACTAAACCCAGTCTAGATACCGTCTTGCAGGTGTGATGAAGGCGTGTCTCCTACGCGGTTCTAGAACCTGTCAAGCTGGCAAGAAACATTGACCATCATCCACCCCTGCAGTCAGGCAGCTTGGGCCTAGTTTTGCAGAGCTGGCCTGCTGAGAAAGTTCTACTTCTTTCTACGTGACTGTCATGTCACCAGTCTCCTTTTCACTCTTCATTTTTGCTTTCGTTAGCATTGCACTGCTGATTTAGCCACATTCTTTGATCAGCTCAGTAGACGAGTCATTGTGATATATAGGATGATGTGTGCATCAATTGCAATATAGACGAATGGAAATGTTTCCTGCAATTGGAAATAGAATACAATCACTTTTAAAAACTAAGTTTGTTTGAATTTTGTATTTTGGCATCACACACTCCTCACTTTTGGAGTATCTGCCATGTTGTTGGTTATAGCTCCACCATGCCATGCTCCTAGAAAACCTTAAGATGTCCAGTCATTAAACTGCCCACACTTTCTGACAGCACCCAACCCACGTCAGTCCTCCTAACAGTGTCCTGTGAAGTTTTCCCCAAACCACCAAAGGAAAACGCAGGTCTTTCAAGTGCTTTCTAACACCCTCTTCCCAAGACCCCTGTGGTTCACCATAGTGTGTGTTCTTATGCTCTGTAATAAATCTAAGTTGTCCCAACTACAGGTATTTCTCCTGGTCTTCCTTGGCTGCAGGACACCCATATACAGGACACCCATATTTGCTTTCTGTATGTTGGCTCATTGAACCTGAAGCAGTCCTATTTGAAGTATTTGCTGATGGAGAAGCAAAGAAAGTTAAACATCATCTCCAACACCACTCAGCTAATACATAGCAAGAGTTAAAGCTTCATCTTTGTTGTTCATCATGACACTGAGCTAGTAACTTCTCTTGGATGCTGGCTTAAGCAGTATATGGTCATGGAGGCCAAAAATCTGGACATGTGACAATACAAACTAGCATTTAAATAAGAAAAGCAACAAACACTACCTGAAAGGCAAAAACCAAACCTAAACCCCGAAAACTTACTCGAACCTTAGGCTCATTTTTCCGAACCCTTGTGCTAATCTCTGTGGAATACCTAGAATTGTTTCTTGTCCTGAGATCAATACTTCATGTTTACCTGTCTTGGCCACATCACCTCTGTATGGTCAGGAGATCAATATCTTTAAGGAAATAGTTGGAAGGCAAAGATGACTTTTAAAGGGGAAGAAACAGTGATGTATGAGAAAACTGCATTAGCCCCGAAACTTGACCTTCAGTGTACACAACAAATTCATCTACATAGTTTCCTGCCAAGGGCCCTCACTATATACCCGATAAATTTCTTCAGCTAGGTATTCTTGACCTCTCTTGGCCTTGCTGCCTGCCCTACCTCTTATGCGAAGACCCTACCAGTTTTCTGCCTGTGTAAATCCATGTATCCTTTCAATTGTAACCACCCTGCCCCTTGCTGTTTAATAATGGAGAAGAAGGCTGAATCTTGGTGTCAGCCAGAGGAGAAGCTTGTCTCCAGGAAGAGATTTGGCACAGTTCTGACAGCATGTGGTACACATGGAAGGTATGGCAATGAGGATGTGTAGGATCACAGGGTGACCATAACTACTCAGTTATGCACACCCCTTGCTCATTGTTTAAACCCAAACATCAGGTCCATGCTCCAGAGATGGACTTGGGGGATCCCTGTATCTTTTTATTTGTTCCTTTTCCCAGTGTGGCCATACTGAATGGATTTCCAGAGTTTTCTTTTCTTTACTTGTCATATTGGAGACAGATGCCTGAGTTTCCCTTGATAAGGCTGCTTAAGCCCAGGTTCTAATATTTAGGATTTCCCCCAGTTCTTAAAAATGTGTAGAATGTCTGTTATTTCTACATTGGTTATTCGTGTCAACTTTTGTGAACCACACACACTAAATTATGAACTGTTTAGACTGTGTTCCTTATAGTTTTTGGCTGACCCAGAGTGAGCACTCAGGCTCCTAGGCACGTTTCAATAATGTGAACCGAAGTTCCAGAAAAAGCCACACCTGCATTAACAATTCTACAAGATTGACTGATTGTGGAGAGTTGGAATGCTGCAAAACCATGCCAAATAATCTTGACTCACTTAATTGTCACTCATCACTGTGTTTAATCTAACATTCTTGTGACAATTAAGTGACACCCTTTGCCTTTGCTCTTCCTTACAAGTTTACTAGCTTCCGCTAACCTCAAACCAAAGATTGACATCCCACAGCATCTGAAGGCTTTTCTAATTGTTTCTCCCAATGTGTTTGAAAAGTTACTTGATGACTTTTTTCATTGCTTCAATTATCAAAGACTTTACGAAACCGTTACTGCGTTGAAATGTGGTATTTGGGGCAACCTGAATTCAGGTTCCCGGGTTATGGCCATTCATTTTGGGTTTCAGCATAAATTCTCATATTCCCTGAGGTGACATCTCTGTTTTTATACAAACGGTAAACAAGACTAGAAAACCTCCCTTCTATGAGGCATGGGCGCAGACAAGTACAGCACGGAAATACTTGTCCCAGACACCGAGACCTCCAGAGACCAATCACAGGGCTTACTCGTTGCTTTCATACTCAGCGCTGCTCAAATAGTACCTGGAGAGTCGCCCTGCGGCTCGGGTTTCCAGATCCTACTCTCAAAATCTTAATTAAGCCGTGCCAGTGACTCTCATAGGCTCAACATTCCTTCCAAACGCCTATGCTCTTATTATGCAGCTTCTGCCTAGCCGCCTGCACAGCCAGAGGGCGAGAAGCTCAATGGACAGGCCGAAGGGCCAATCAGGCCCAGGCATAGGCAGACCCGGAAGGGGCGGAGCGCGCGTCCCTGGCTCCGCGGCGCGGGATTGGCTGACGGGGCCGCCCGAGGTGGCGGGAGATTTCGGATGTATTGGCCCATCGCGGGGCAGCGAGCGGTTAGTGCGCGGTGCTGCGGGCGTGGGACCCGGAAGGTGAGCCGAGGAGCCACGGCCCCAGGTCAGGTCGCGATCGAGACCCGGGGAGATGGAGAGGCAGCGGGCGCGCGCTCTCGGCCGGGACAGCAAGGCGCCGCGCAGGAAGGGCCTGTCTCCCGCGCCGCCCTCAGGCCCCCACGAGCCCGGCGAGAAGCGCCCCAAATTGGTAAGTGTGGAGCAGAGCCTCGGGGTGTGGCGACTCCCGGGGCCTTCAGCGCCCCGCGCCCCAGGCTGACAACCCCGGGAGGGGAGCGGGGAGCTAGGTTTGTTTCAGAGGGCCAGAGCTGCTAATGGGCTTAGATCCACAGTGACAGGGCGGGGTTCGATTCCCGTCAGGGACGAATGCCCTGCTGCTCTCCCTGAAGCCAATCTGAAAACCAGTTCAAATGTCGATGTACTGACGTCATCCGGGCGGATTCTGCACTTTTAAAAAAAAAAGTTGAATTTCACCCCACCCCTTTGGTATAACAGACTGTAAGACAGAAAGTGAACTTCTAGCTGATGGTCTCTCCCTCTCCCTCTTTTTAATCCAACAAGAACTTTTCAAGTTGAGGCAGCTTGTTTTCAAACTTGGCGGGGTGTGTAGTCACTGCTAAAGAATGTCTTGTTTAGTTTGGAAGGAGTCTTCAAGTATCCAGAACTCGTTAAACGGGTAGGCTTTGCGCTCTTTTTAAATTTTTTTTTTTTAATTTAAGAAATACCACCGATGGTATGTATATTTATAAGTGGGAGCATTTTATTGACATTGAGACTGACAGTAGGTAGGGCTACTTCTTCCACGGTTTTATATATAGCTTATGAATGACAGCTGCCCTGGCTATTCCTTCTGCACAGGCGCTTTCTTTGAACATGAGAAGGTAGAGGTTGAAGATCTAAGTACGAATCTTTTAAAGCTTTAAACAGTGGTGGAAAGATTAAATTTAATTGTGAAGTCATGACGTTACCCTGCATAGCATGAGGGCACACTATCTCTTCACTGTACTTCCAAAGTAGATTATCATGTACAACCTTCAGTGTGATCAGAAAATAAGTCCGTCTTACAAAGGTGGATGCAAAGCCTGGTCGCTCTCCATGAACTTGACCAAAGTCATGTAGACTTTGGTAAAGGAACCAAGATACTATGACAGTTTTGTATGGCTCTACGTTCAGTTGGTTTCTAAATTCTGATAGGAAAATCATAACTATGTCTGAGTGAACTTTGTGTTCTCAATGGGTAAGGAAGAGCTATGGTAAGGTTTTTATTAATGTCAGCTGGAGGAAAAATCGGTAATGAGGATGATTTTCATTTGGGTCTGATTGTGTAGGATGGTAGATTTTGGTGTTAGTCCATGAGAACTGGAGACTTAATGCTGCTTTACTTAGATGTATGGGAAAATTATTATTTTTTTTGTCATAGCATCAACATTTGAAGAATTTAAGCCATGATTTACAAATAAAGGATATAGTAGATTGTGACTCAATTGCTAAGTATAGTATTTACTTGTAATTAAATACAAGTGAGAACAGAGATAAGGGACATCAGGATACTGACTGTGAGCATCAGTGGGGTTGATTATACAGAAGTGAGCATCAAAATAAGATGGATGGAGACATGTTGTAAAAAAAAAGTCAAGCGTGTGCTTCATTACTCTTATCTGCTCAGGTCTGAGACGGTATAGGAGAGAGATAATTTGGTCATAAAAGGAACCATGGGACAATGCCATCTCTTTTTATACTTTACTCACTGGAATAATACTCTCAATATATTTTGTCTGGACTCCCATGGTCCATGATTCAGGAAGTGTGGTTTTCTGTAGTTTAAAGTATGGCATTCCTGAATAAGTATTTGATTTTACTAAAGCCTGGTTATTGTGGTTTTTATTTCTTAGTTATGCTATATTGTTGGGGAATATTATTTTAAGGTGTGTGACTTTTGTTTATGCTTTATTTGTTTAACTCTGTCAAGCTGTGTTACTGTGGCTGTCTAAAACACCTGATGATCGTAAGAAAGAGCTGAATGGCCAATAGCAAGGCAGGGGCAAGGATAGGCAGGGCTGCCAGGTAGAGAGGATAAATAAAAGGAGAAATGAGGAGGAGGAGGAGGAGCAGTAAGAAGAGAACAAGGGCAGGAGGATGGCAGGGACCAGACACCCAGTCAGTCATGGAGTAAGAAGGAAAGACAGATAGATATACAGGAATAAGAAAGATAAAAACCCGGAAGTAAAAAGGTACATGGGATAAATTAAGAAAAGCTGGCTAGAAACAAGCCAAGCTAAGGCTGGGCATTCCTAAGTGAGAATAAGACTCTGTGTGACTTACTTGGGAGCTGGGTAGTGGGCCCCCTCAAAAAAGCCAAAAGAGCAAAAAGTCACACAATAGCATATTGACCATACCATTTGTTAAAAGTTGTGCAAAGGTGAAATTAAGTCTAAGAGACAACATACTGAAATTCTAAGATGGATAAATACACCTACAGTGTTGAGTTCATGGGTGAAATGGGGTTTAAGAGACAACATACTGAAGTTCTAAGATGGATAAACACACCTACAGTGTTAATGGGTGGGGCTTCATATAAATCATGACTAAGTAATTAATTTAGAAGTAATTTGCATTCTTGTTGAACTCTGCAATTAGACTTTTGCTTACATATTAATTTTTTGTTTTGAGATTAGAATACAATTACATCATTTTCCCTATTCCCTTTCTTCCTTCCAACCCCTCTCATGTGCCATCCCTCTCTCAAATTCATGGCCTCTTTTTCTTTGTTGTTACATTTATATATGTAATATATATATATATATATACATATACATATATATATGTATATGTATATATATATATACATATACATATATATATATTTTATTTTTTTTATTTTTTTATTTTATTTTATTTTTTGGTGAGACAGGGCTTTTCTGTGTAGTCCTGGCTCTCCTGGAACTCAATCTGCAGATCAGTCTATCCTCAAACTCAGAGATCCACCTGCCTCTGCCTCCTTAGTGCTGGTAATAAAGGCATGTACCACCACCACCTGGCTTTATGTTCTTAAATATTTGAATACAATCTGCTCATTCCTTCTAATGTTATTTGAGCATTTTCAGGGCTGATCATTTGATAATGGATAACCAGTTGGTGTTACTGACATTCCTTAGTTGCCTGAAGTTCTTTGTCCAGGGTTGAGTCTTCCTGAGCTTTACCCTTCATGTCTATCAGTGCTGTCCTTGTTCAGGTCTTGGTTAGGCAGCCATGCTGGTGAGACTTCATGGATATAACTTCTCAGACATTTCTAGGAGATACAATCTCACAGCACACTTCTGCACTCCTGCTCTTATAATCTCTCTGTCCTGTCTTCTGCAATGTTCCCTGAGCCTAGATGCAGGGGTTGTTTTGTAGTTGAATGAACTGGGACTGGCCTCTCCATCCCTGCATTTTGAGCAGGTGTGGTCTTCATCTGTTGCAAAGAGAAGTTTCCGTGGTGATGGATGAGAGCTACACTTAGATTCTAGAGGAGGATCTGTCCATAGCAATTTCCATTTTTCCATATTTCCATTTCATGAACTTAGCGTCAGCTCTTTGTGTTCTGCTATTTTTATTTGTTCTGAATATTTGGTTTTAGCAGTTGCTTTTTATTTTGGTAAGTTCCAGTTGCTTCTTTTTTGTACCTGTCTGGGCATTCTTGATAGTTCTTTGTGTCTAGGCTGTTTGTTTCTCAATAGCTCTGATAAACGCAGTCTTTGGACCTTCTACATTGGCTTGACTTTTTTGTTGCTTGCTTTTTCTCCTGTTGAATTAAGTAAGCTCCTCATTTTAAACCAGTGGAATTCCAGGGGGCCTAGAGGGTGCTTTTCTTTTTTTCTTTTTCTTTTTTTTCAAATTAATTTTTATTTAAATTAAAAGCAAACTAATTTTACATACCAATCCCAGTTCCTTCTCTCTCCAGTCCTTCTGTGGCCTTCACCGACTCCCCTGCATCCTACCACTATTCACTCCTCAGGGAGGGTGAGACCTCCCATGGGGGATCATCAAAATTGGTCACATTATTTGGGGCAGTACCTACCCCCCCCCCCCCAATCTATCCCTCCATAGGGAATGCGCTTCCAAAGTCATATACTAGGGATAAATACTGGTTCCACTACCAGAGACCCCATAGACTGCCCAGGCTCCCCAACTGGCACCCATCTTCAGTTCGGTCCTATGCTGGTTCCCCAGCTGTCAGACTGGGGTCCGTGAACTTCCACTTGCTCAGGTCAGTTGTTTCTGTGGGTTTCCCCAGCATGATCTTGACCCTTGGCTCATCACTCCTCCCTCTCTACAACTGGAGTCCAGGAGTTCGACTCAGTGTTTGTGAATCTATGCTTCTGCTTCTATCAGCTACTGGGTGAAGGCTCTAGGATGGCATCTCAGATAGTCATCAATCTCATTATAGGGGTAGGGCATTTAAGGTAGCCTCTCCACTGTTGCTTAGATTCTTAGTTGGGATCATCCTTTCGGATCCCTGGAGATTTCCCTAGTGCCAGATTTCTCTTTAAGCCCATAATGGCTCCCTCTATTAAGGTATCTCTTTCCTTGCTGTCTTTCTCTGTTCTTTCCCCAACTCGACCTTCCTGATCCCTCATTTTCTCTTCCTCCCTCTCCTTCTCCTCTCCTTTTCCTCCTACCTCCCTCCTCTCCCCCGCTGTGATTTTTGACAAAGAAGCTAAAATTATACAATGGAAAAAGGAAAGCATCTTCAACAAATGGTGCTGGCATAACTGGGTGAGGTGGGGAAGAGGCAGAAAGCCGAGTGACTTGGGTTCATCGTAGATTTAGGAAGAGGTAAAATCAGAGCAGGCTTAGTGACATTAGCACATGTTTGCTTTATTGTCTAGGTGTGTCTGGAAGCAGGTGTAGGAAGATATTCTATTCCTTATTCTGTGGAGCCTTTGGCTGTTACCTCCTATGGCAAAAAAGAACTTTTGTGTTATGTTTGCCTGCTAAAAACTGTTAGCTTATTTCCGGTCGTTAGAGTGAAAGGAGAAGTTTTGCCTGCAAAGGAGGAGAAGGTGATGTAACTGTGGAGACAGGTTAGCGATGCAGCTGTTAGAAGCTGGGAGTCAGGTAGTGTTCTCCAAGCATGTGTGGCCAGCCTGTGGCCAAACACCAGCCTGTGGCCAAACACCAGCCTGTGGCCAAACACCAGCCTGTGGT